AATATTTATAATATTTTTTGTGTTTTTCAAAAAAGTAGAAAAGAGATGCAGATCCTAACGTTTTTTTTAAACTTGAGAGCAAAATTTAAAAAATTCGATCTTAAAATAAGGTTTTAACGTATCAACACTTAACGAAATTTTCTCACATTTCTAACATTTAATTAATTTCTAAGTAAATTAAATGAACCAATAAAAAAGGTCTAAATTATTCCAATTTTAATACTTTATACACTTTAAACGTAAAAGCGCTAATGTATTTGCGATCGATTGAAACATCATATTTCTTTTCGTTAACACTACAAAAAAAGCGCAAAAGTTATAAGGTATAAATTAAATGCTTTTATTACACTGTAATAATATACTAAAAACGAAAACGTAAAAGTTAATTACTGAAAGAGTAGACAGTTTCCTAATTTTAAAGTTTTATTATGATAAAATTAAGTACACTAATCTTAAAATGTTTTTAGAGCTTTAAAATAAATTTTAAATTGAGTTTCACGAGACTATGCGAGGAAATTTAATTAGATTTGAAAATGAAGTATTTTATGAAAATGATTAAAATAGCATAAACTAAGTTTGAAAAATTTTGTTAAACGTTCTATACATTGAACAAATGAAACTTTAAGTTTTATAAATTTGAACTACTGGTATGCAAAAATAATGTTCTACTGTGTATTTCAATGTTTAAAATTTTGATAATTCTAAGCAACTTATTTTATTATCTGTATAATTTAAAAAGAATTTAACCTACCGCACATGACATATCTTTTGTGCCACAAACATCAGGGTGTATAACTCTCATATAGAATTTGATTCAGGTCTTTTAAAGACTGACTGCCCAAGCTATTAAAAGTGCATAAAAATGTCGTAGATCTTTAAACGGCTTTAATGCTTTAAACATATCTTAACTTTTCTTCCCGATCCACTTCTGAGTTTACGAATATCAATGTTTAACTTCGTAATCTTGTACTTTTGAACCTAAACCAAACGAAAGGTAGCTTTGTGGTCAAGCATTTGGACAAAGTAGCTTTCTGTAAGAAAATTCAGAATCAAATTACGGTATAATGAACAGGTACTTTAGGTGCATTATCTGTAAAGTTTACTTTACCGTTATACCGTAATTTTTCCTGTATTATCTAACTAGAGTAATTCAGTGATTATACAGTGATATTTATTGTAAAAACTATGGTGCATATTTTATGTTCTGTAAAATTTTTCGGTAAGAAATAAAGCACCCTAAGGCGCAGTTTATCGCACTTTAATCTGGAATTTTTTTGCAAGGAGCTTTATCGAAGCAGTTATGACATTTCCAAGACCTTAAATATCCATCCCTGGGAATTATACTGATTTTAATAATATACTCGATGCTTAAGTGTTATATGAATGACCCGTCTCAAAACTATTTATTGAACCTAATTTCTAATTTGCTGATCTTTGCTTAAAACTATACGAAGTGATATCCTGTTTGAAATGATTCATTTCACGAGACGAAAAGTACATAACATGTGTTGAAAATGTGTAACACAATTGAGAAAAAGATTCTTGTCAAATTAAGTTCTAAACTAGATTAGGCTATATATTTCTGTAAAATTTTAGTTGTGTTTCAAGTAAATTCTAAATTCAAATGCATTAAGTATTATTTGAAAGTAAAATATTTTTGAATTGTGCATAGTGTAATTTGTGAATGTATGGAAAAGATTAGAAAATGAACAAATTTTAGACAAAAGAAGGGAAGTAAGTCCCAGGATTACATTCAGTTTTATTTGATTGTGAAATACTACTTTGAAATTATATATCGTGTAATTTGTGAATGTGTGGAAAGGATTAAAAAAAGCAAATTCGAGACAAAAAAAGGGAAGTAAGTCCCAGGTTGGCATTCAGTTTTATTTGAATGTAAAATACTTTGAAATTATGTATCATGTAATTTTGTGAATGAGGGGAAAAGATTAAAAACAAATAAATTTGAGACAAAAAGGGGAAAACGCAACGCTTACTATTTGTGGGATTATAATATATTTGTATCTTTTATAACGTTATAGAAGAAATTTTGAGGAAATCCTTTTATTCGAAAAATGATCCCCTTACAGAAATCCCCTTACAGAAATCCCTTTATAGAAAAAGTTTTTTATTATGAGGAGGTTTTGTTTATCCGTAAGAAAAGAAGATATACGCAAAGCAATCATGGAGTTTCTTGAGCTGACCTTTTTAGTAATTTAAAGTAGAAGGATGAAATGTTCAACATCTATCAAGTTATGGATATTTTTATTCCACGAGACATATAATTCGAATTCTGAAGTCACTTTAGACCAATAAAAGTCTTTTAAATAACTAATAAAAAAACTTTTTTAAAAGTTATATCATCGATAAAAAAGGAAATTTATTTGATCTATTATATTTAGAAATGGAGATTTTTTTAAATATGTATGCATATATTTTAAATTCATTTTGTTTGAAGTTTATTCTAAACTTCTAATTAAAAAGATTTTGTTAAGTAATATGTACTTCATTTTTTGATTTAGTTTCTTTTATGCAATAAAAACTCCCTTATAATAATGCCAATCGTAATATTTTCATGTTATTTATGATCTGGGAACTGCTTTTAAGCAAGTAATGATACGATTATTCTTATAAATACGATTATTCTTATAACGATACGATTATTCTTATAAATAAATAGCGTATATTCAGTGAATGCTGAACAACTCTTAACTGGCAAGAATTTTACATTAAAATCACGGGATCAGTTACTTAAGCTATTCCTTTTTCACAAAAACTTCATAGTTTGAAAATAAGTCCAATTTGAACTTTAAAATGTTCGCATTACACAACTTAAAAAGTCTTTTAATAAATATTTTTTAAATCTACGGGAACTTTTAACTTACATTTTAGTTTCAAAAAATGCTGCATTTAGATATTTATAATGAAATTTTCATTTTTTTTGTTGCTAATTTAGGATAAATTAAATTCTTAACCTGATTATCATGGTTTGAAGAGGTAGATATCTAAGCCATCTTGGTGTTTTCATTAGAAATATTTAAGCATATTTGGGAAGTAAGTATCTTAACGAACATATCTGAACAATTTAACTTCATTTCGTACAAAAAATTCAAAAGTAATTACAATAATCTTTAATTTAGGCTGAAACTGAGTGATCATTCATGAAAGTTATTTCAATGTGTAATAAAGGAAAAAAGTCTTAAATTGTTTACTGTACACTTTAGACATTAATTATATTCTCGTTAACGTCCTTTTCATCAAATTAATCACTCCGTTGAACTTGAGGGCTATAAATCATAAATCTAACAATCATATGGTCATTTTAGAGGGTCATCAATTTCTTAAGTGCAGTTTATAAAATGATTTTAACACTAAGAGTGGTAACTTAAATATTTTCTTCACAATTCACTGCAATGTTCTAACAGATGAACTAACATGTTTGTTTTAACGGTACTTCCTTTCGAAGTTGCAAAAAGTTTTTTGCTGTTAGTGAACATAGTATTTTTAACAACTTATTTCTAGTTATTATAAACGAAGTTATCAGTACTAAATTGAATTGATAAATATTCTAAGTTTTTTAAATTGATAATTATGATACTATCATTGTAATTGATAATAATATTATTAAGAAACGTTTTTTTATTGTTCTAACTGAAAATTGTTATTTTATTATTATAAGTAAATTAAGACGAATGTTATGACTTAATATTAATGATAAACATGTTCATAGATATTTTACGATTTTCTTTATATCTAAAATTCAAAATTTTTTTTTACTTATGCACGGACTACTTGCTTTTACAACTTTAATAAGTATTGATAATTTTAAGTATTTAGTTTTAAAAATGTGGTAAAGAGAATATAAAATTCTCCCTAAAGAAATATTTCATCTTTAAATTGAAAATTTCTTAACTATAGTTCAAAAATTCTTATATCTTCATATCTTAGAGATGATTTATTTTATTATTTCTGCTTTCATATTTGATAAGCATTTGATTTATTTTATTATTTTTTGATTGTATTTCCTTAATCAAACTAGTGCTATGAAAATTATATTGATTTAGAAATGTATTTTCTGTATACGTATCTTAATTAATAATAGCACACTAACTGAAAATTATCCGCATGTAGACAAAATTTAAAAAAAATGAAGACTATAACAAAGATTGTAAAAAATTGTTTAATAGGCAAAAAGTTACTTATGGTCACTTATTCCCATTTCTCTAAAGAATTATTTTTAAGACTTATGTGAGTCTTGCTAATTTGGCATAAAGTTATGCATGGAGTTTAAATTCAAAACGAATACTCAATATGGAGCATTTTATTAAAACTATTCTATCTGAAATGTTTACTACTTCGTAACTTAGAGATGGTTTATTTTATTATTTCTGCTTTCATATTTGATAAACATTTATTTTATTTTATTCTTTTTTGATTGTATTTTATTAATCAAACTCGTACTAAAAATAATATTGATTTAGAAATGTCTTTTCTGTATAGGTATTTTAATTAATAATAGCACATTAACTGAAAATTAACCAAAAGTAGACGAAAAAAATAAAGACTAGCAAAGATTGTAAAAATTTGTTTAATAGGCAAAAATTTATTTATGGTCACTTATTCCCATTTCTCTAAAGTATTGTTTTTAAAACTTATGTGAGTTTGGCTAATTTGGCAAAAATTTTGTATGGAGATATCTACGGTTTAAATTCAAAATGAATAGTCAATATGGAGCATTCCATCTGAAATGTTTACTACTTAAAAATATGCTTAAAAAGCAATATATTCACGATCGATGAGTGAAATGTCACATTTGCATATGAATTAATGACGAAATGACATTTTTTTCTCTTCATTTCATAAGCAGAAAGTGAAAATCAACGACGTTCGAAAGGTATAATTAAACGCTTTCATCGTATTTTAATTACACTTCATATACTCTAAAACACACAGAAGGCGGTAAAGATAATTACTCAGAGAAGGGATGATTATTCCATCCCAGTGAGTGCGAGTTTGATCCGAGGTGTGCAGTGGCGGGAATCCAGTGGCGCGAGATTACGAAAGCCAAGTGAGAAAGAGAGAGAGAAGAGGCAAGGGATTCAGAATAAGCGTCGACCATGGAGAGGAAGGTACTGTTCGGCGTTTTCCTCCTCATTCTGCCCTTCGGCAGTTTCGGTGAGTTTTCATCTTGTTTTCTTGACTTTCATCTCATCTTATCTCATCTCTAGTCATCTTTTGAGTCTTCTCTTTAGTCGAAATAACGGATCGACAAAGATTTAGGGTTTCTACTCGGGAATGTTTACTTAGGAATATTTCCTGAAAATACCGAAATTAAAGACGTGCGGTTGCTAGGAAAATATTTTCAAAGAAAATATGTAAGAGAGAATTAAGATAGAGTAACAATTTCCGTTTCCTGTCATTCTAATTTAGTCTATAGAAATATACTTCTTTGATTTTTATTCAGGATCTAAAAAAAATATCTTTGAAATACAGTGATACTATTCTATGCATTTATTCATCGGAAATATAATAAACTTTAGTATGTTACAATTCTGTAAATTTTTTGCGTTAAAAATGTAATAGTGATAAAAAATAAAATAATTATTAAATATAAAAATTATTTTCGTAACAAAGTACTTTAAATCAAACAAAAGTATAAGAAAATCATGCGGCAATAATTGTCTAGTATTTTAGTATTGAAGCAAAATTAATCTAGTAAAATAGTTTTATCCATTAGGAGTAAAGAAATCGACATTTTTAGTTACCATTTATACAAAATTATGTACCAAAAATTGAAGACCCATGGTTTTGAAGTTAACTGAAACATAATTATGAATTTTAATCTAGCTTTAAAATATTTCAAAGCTTAGTATGATCTTAATGGCAGAAATGAAATAAAAATATACAATTAGTTTTTGTAACGAAGTATTCTACAATTCAATATGAGAAAAATACATGTTAAAATCTAAAATATTTTTTATTAACAGCTCATTATGTACTACTAGAGTAAAATAAATACAAATTTTAATTCAAAAAATTAAATAAATCTATTTTGAAAATGTATGCATTTAACTCTTCAAACATAATCAAAATTCATTCAATCATATTAAAATTTATACTATAAATAAATAATTTTATTTGCTTAAAACGAACAAATTAATTTACCGTAGGTTATTAACTTATAGCTTTTAAAACAATTATTTAACTGGTAAATAAAATATAAACAGATTATTTTAAACGCTTTTATTATAAAACATATTGGACAATCTCATATTTAGGTTTCCGAATTTGAGCAATTTTGTTGGGATTGTTATTGAGGAGATTTAGAGATATTTAAGATCTAAATTGCTCATATATAGTCCTAAGACTCACATTGAATTATTTTCAATTTCCTAAAAATCGTTTTTAGTTTTCTTAAGCTAAAAATCCAACACTATGGTATATTTATTTACGAATGTGAAGTAAAAAACTGTTATTTTAACGTTTGCCTCAAAATATAATTATTTTTGCCTTAAAATATAATTATGAATGCTGTAAAGATAAATAGAATGGAAAATGAAATTTGTTTTTAAAGCCATATGTAAATCGTTTTAAAGCGATATGTTAAGCGATGTTAATTGTTTTAATCTAAATTGCTCACATATAGTCCTAAGACTCGCATTGAATTACCTTCAATTTCCTAAAAATCGTTTTTAGTTTTCATAAGCTAAAAAATTCAACACTATGGTATATTTATTTATGGATGTGAAGTAAAAAACTGTTATTTTTACGTTTGCCTCAAAATATAATTATTTTTGCCTTAAAATATAATTATGAATGATGTAAAGATAAATAGAATGGAAAATGACATTTTTCTTCAAAGAGATGTGATATTTATCTTTAATTAATATACCAAATAGTAAAATATTTCTCAAAAATTCTGATAAAGAGAATCCAAAGTGCAAACTCTTCTTGTTTGTATTGAAGGTATGTTGTCGTTTTAGTTAAATGCAATTTATTGTAAGTCGCCTTCAAACGATTCTGTTTCAAGAACTGATTAAATATATAATCAGTTTATATCAATATCACATCACTATTTTTATTACTTAAATTGTTCTTGGTACAGTTTGAATTCTATATTCCTTTATAGTTACATTCCCTAATTCTATTTCTTTGATTTTTCAACCTTTGATGTAAATCCAACTTTTAATTGAAATTTTCAATTCACTAGTTTTAGCTAATCTTCATCCTGTTTTATTAACTCTTCACTCATTCAATCTATCATTCCCATTATTCGGATAACGAATTGTCAAAAGATTCGAATTTTGCTTTTAAAGATTTATTTAGAAATATGTTCTCCGAGCGTAAATTGAAAAGTGCTTTTATGTAAATTCCTATAAGTTTGACTGTTAAATTCATGTAAAGAGTGTTATAACTAAAAATTATGTTTTTTTTTTCGGTATTATGTTTAATCTTAAATAACTAAAAATAAATGTTTTCGTATTAATGAATTGAGATAATATTGAAAACGAAGTTTAATTAATATGTGTTAGAAACGCATTATAGTTTCCAAGGGTTTTATTTCTTTATATAAATTACTTCATTTCAAAAGAAAATTTTTTAATTTTAATGATTTATTATAAAAATATGATGATTTGATTACACGTTTTGTCCGGTTAGTTTTGTTCAACAAAAATTTATTTTTTAACTTAGTAAGAAAAGATGGAGAAACTCGTCTTTAAAGTGTGAATAATTATTTTATGGTCAAATTATTATTATAAATCAATTATTATCACTTATTTTTTCTTCATTTGTATAATTATCATCAATATTAGTATTATGTTATATTTTTAAGGGGCATTTCTTAATCTATCATTCGGATTTTAACTTATATATCAAATTATTTTCTTGACTATCTCTGAATTGTTTTTTTTCTTTAATGACGTACAAACATTTTAATAATTAAGCAACATCATAACGTAAAGTTTGATGATACATGACTTCTTTTTAAACTCTTATTTGGAGGAAAATACTATAACACTCGATAACATTTCTATCCTATCAATTCATTCAAACATTTTTGCCAACATAGGTAAACAAGGATAATAATTACTAACCACGAAGCATAAAACGTTAAATTTCTGTTTCTAAATAATTTTTGGTTTCTTTTTCCTCAAAATATAATATTTTGATAGAAAAGAAAGGCTTTTTCATTATTTTAGATAAGAAACTTTATATGTTACTGTCAAAATAAAATTCTTTTTAAGAACTGCTTGAAAAATGCTAAAAGTTTCAAATTGTAATAAAAAAAAATTGTAACTTTTTTTCATTTGCAGAGTGCGTTAGTTAAATAAAGTTTTTTTTTACATTTTAACTAATATTAATTTAAAATAAATAATCGTAAATTTGTAAATATTATTTTTTAATGAGCGCTTTGAAGTATTTTTGAGATTATTGTTTCATTTAAAACAGCGATTACTCTTCGAAAAAGATCATATAAATGAAAGAAATGGTTAAAATGCCAGAAATAAAGATATGTGAAAGTGTTAAGTATTTACTTTACAAGTAGCTTAAGGAAATAAAAAAAGCATACTTATTCCTAAAACGTTTAATATAATTGTTGGTAATACTAGTAATGAATAATATTGTTCATGTTAAGCATAACAGTTAACTTATTTCGAGGCAAAGTGTGAATAGAAAACAAATTAAGAAACATGATGTAAATGTTAAAAGAAATAAGAAAAGACCATGCATATTCTTAATATTTGTAATAGCATTTAAATACTGTTAATAGTAGTAATGAATAATATTGTTAATGTTAGGAAAAATGGTTAACTTATTTCGAGACAAGTGTGCATAGAAAACCAAAAAAGGAGCATGAAAAATGTTAAGACCAAATAATGAAGAATAAAAGCTTATAAGAGATATCGAGAATATTTTAAATAATTTTACTCCTCATGTGATCTACTTTTTTTACTTAGCACGTATTTTAAGTTATATAACTTATATTTGAAAATTTTTCGCTTATATGCTTCGTGTTTATTATATTCCTGAAATTTATGCGCAAAGTCTCATTCAAATTCATCCTTCGGGACTTTCAGTGAGATTTTATCTTGTTTATTTCGTTATTTCTTGCGCAGTTTTCTTTATTTACATAGAAAAATATTGTATAGTTAGTGGAATGAAAGTAACAATGAAAGTAACAATGAAAATGTTAGCAAATTTTTTAACATATATTCAAATTGAACAAAGTGGTAAAAAATATTCCAGAAAAAATCTTCGGTGGAATTTTACTTTGTTCTTACTTTTGATAAGATGGAATTGTAGTTATTTTATAAAAACAAATGCAAGTAATAGAAGTACCAAACTATAATAACAATTTTTGCAGACATCTTTTTAAGCAAATCTGTTAATAGATCAATTTAATTTATATAAGTATGGTCCGCAAGAAAAAAGAACAAAGAAAAAAACAGAGAAAATTTAAGATCAAACACCCTTTATAACATTTGATTTAATGATCAAATTTACTCAATCTTAAAAGTTCGTGAGACGAATCTTAAATATTCTAATTAATTTGTGCTTGGGATATTTTATGTTAAGTAACCAAAAGCGATCTTTGCTCTTTTTCTTAATATGCAATTTACTTTCTTCGATGGATGCGGATTCTTGACTTTGAAAATGTGGTGAGTAACTGCAATCTGGAAAATGTAGCCCTAAGCTTTCTTGCCAATAGTTTTGGCAGGATAGTGGTGGATTGGACTCTTATATGTTTATTTCATTCTTTGCATGCTAAGTTATCTAAAAGAAGTCGCATTTTTAAATTCATATTTCTTAAGAGCTAATTGACCGATTACATCGAAATTTTAGATTTTGTCATTTTAAACTATTTAGATTAGCATTGTGTGAGAATTGGCAAGCATTAAAATTAATTTTTTTGGATTATCATTACAATAAATAATGTTCATTAATAATATTTTATCATAAATAGCTATTTTTTTCTTATAAATATTTTTGAAAAAGCATGTTTTAAAATAAATGAAAAATGATTGATAAGCTTTATTAGTTAGGAAGGTATGGCGTTATGCGTAAAATGTTAGATAAGCATTATGAGGTTCAAACTTTCAAGATAAGCATTATGAGGCATTAGATCAGCATTATGAGGTCCAAACTTTCAGTCGTTTGCTTAAACTAATGGG